TAGGCACGCACTGGGATCTTAGCGGTGTCCTGTCCAGGTTGTTTGAATTGTACATCACTGCAGGGGGAGGTGCAGCATCTCACCCCGCACCTCTGGTCTGCACCCCAGCTCAGTATGCATAAATAAAATAATTTTTTTTTTTTTTTTGGGTGGGACCCTCGCCGGCGGCCGGGAAACGAACCGGCGCGGCAGAGGCTGCGGGCAGCCCCGCAGCCCAGCGCTCAACCGCTGCGCCCCCAGGGGAGGCCCAAATAAAATAAATCTTAAAAAAAAAAAGAACACTGCGGGGGGCCTGGCTGCCCCAGCCAGGCAAGATGCTGGCAAGCAGCTAAGAAAAAGGGCCTCACGCCGTGGGGCTGAAGATGAGTCTGCACCCTTCGAGCATCCCTTTGTTTTTTGTTCTTCGTCATAAAAAGAGGAAAACCCTCTCAGAAAATACCTTGGGCAATAAAATACCGGTATCAGAGCAGTCTAAGCACGTGGCACGGAGAACCACCTGCTTGGCAACGACACGCGGCGCGGCGCATCCGGCCTGCCCGGCAGTGGGAGGAGGTCGCCCCAGCCGGCCCGCCACGGCAGGAAGCCCGGCTGTGGCTTTTTTAGAAGTTTCTTAGGAAAGTTTTTAAGTGAAGTGAACTGTGTTGAGGAGTTTCTTGGTGGCAAACCCTGCTGGCCGACAACCCGGAGGCAGCTGGGCCCCGGCGGAGGCCGCGCCGGAGGACAGAGGCGTCTTCGGGTGCGCGGGCTTGGCCGACGGGTGCGCCCCGGCCGCGGGCTGTGCTGGGCCGGGCCCAGCTGAGGGAACGGCTGTTGGTGCAAGGCTCGGCGTCTTTGTTATTACCCTTGAAGGTCGCCGCCTCGCTGAGAGCGCGGAGCCGCCCCGCCCGGGAGGAGGAACGCGCTGACTGTTGCAGCGGCGCGGCCGCGGGATGACGTGATCGCGCTGCTCGCCCTGGTGTGGAGAGACCCTCGGAGAGAGACACCCACCCAAGACATCGCGTGTCCGCCTCGTGCCTCAGTGGCGCCGACGCCGCCCCATCCTTCAGGACCCCCTGACACCCAGATTGCCCAGGCCGGTCTTCGGCAGAGCACCCCAAGGACGTCCGGGGGGAAAGAGGTGGGTGGGTGGAGGCTGCGCCATGCGTCCTGTCCCCGGCCCAGGGCGGGGTCCCACGGGGTCCTCCAGAGTCCAGGCACCTCTGAGGTGCCTGGAACCCCCTTCCTATAGGAACCCCCTTCCTGAGGCCTGGCCAGGGGACCCGCGGCCCCATGGGGTTGAGGGGCTGCCCCGCTCCTCTCGCCCACACAGGGACACGGCTCTTGAGTCCTGCCGCCAAGACCAAGGGTACTGGGGACACCCCGGGCTCTCTCGCAGTGGACGTGATGTCAGAACCCGCTGCCCACGGCCCCAGGTGCACCCCCAGAGCAGGCACAGGTGTGCGCCCTCCACGCCCGGGCCCGGGGATGGCGGTGCGCCTGCGCGGAGCCACACCTGCGGCAGGTTGCTTTAGTGCAGGTGGGGAAGCCTCGGAGGCCAGAGGGGCCCCGGACTGAGGCCCGGCGAGGCCCAGGGGGCCGGGCAGCCTCTCACTTCCTGGACCAGCACCGGGGGCGCTAGTCCCGAGCCTGCGGGCCGGCTGCAGGCCAGCCTGTGTGCCCGCCGCGGCCCGCAGAGCCCGGCGCAGGGCAGCCCCTGCGTGCAAGGGAGCTGTCGGCCAGAGCGCCACTGCCCGGCCCCTCGGGCGAGCCCCCAAATGAGGCGGAACGTGGTTTCTCCAGGGGAAACCACAGAGGGGACCGCTCTGTCCCCATAAGAAGAAAACCCTGATGTCCCACACCCGCCCGCGCCGCCACAGCAGGGGTGTCCATCTCTCCAAGCCCAGGCCGGCGCTTCCGCGGGCACCTTTGAGTGAGGGCAGTGCCGCCTGGAGCAGGTTTCTGGGAAGGAGGAAGTAGGAGCTGCTCCTGCCACCATGGGGGGGGGCCTCCCCCCTCCGCCACACCCCTGGCCTGCCCTGGCCAGGCCTACAAAACCCCGTGCCCGCCCTGCCTGCCGGAGGAGCCGCACCATGCAGCTGAACTTCAGCGGCCTGCGGGCCCTGGTGACCGGGGCAGGCAAAGGTGGGTGTGTGGGGGGCGGAGGCGGGCTGCAGCTCTGTGGACGGGGCACTAGCCCCTGCCTGGCCGCCACCAGACCACCCTCCCTTAGGCTGCCCCAGACTCAGGCCAGGCTGACGGGCGGGGTCCAGTCAAGGCCGGGAGGAAGGAGTGTGGGGGACCCTGAGCCCGGGCTCAGGCCCCTGGCCAGCCGGCACCCCAGAAGCACCCCAGCCCCGTTGGGCCACACCTGCCCGGTGCCGCCCACAGGGATTGGCCGGGAGACCGTGAAGGCGCTGCAAGCCTCGGGAGCCAGGGTGGTGGCCGCCACCCGCACCAGCGCCGACCTGGTCAGCCTCTCCCAAGAGGTGAGGCTGCCCACCCCACGCATGCGCCCCAGCCCTCAAGGCCTGTGGCGTGTCCATCACCGCCCGGGCCTCCCGCAGTGCCCGGGCGTGGAGCCCATCTGCGTGGACCTGGGCGACTGGGAGGCCACGGAGCGGGCGCTGGGCGGCGTGGGCCCCGTGGACCTGCTGGTGAACAACGCGGCCGTGGCGCTGCTGCAGCCCTTCCTGGAGGTCACCAAGGAGGCCTTCGACAGGTGGGCGGCGGGGGGGGGGCGGGTGCAGCTGGACAGGGGTAAGGACCTGGAGCCGGGGTGACCGGGCCCCCCCACTGTCTGCCCCAGGTCATTCAGTGTGAACCTGCGTTCTGCCTTCCAGGTGTCTCAGGTGAGCCGGGGAGGGGGCTCGGGGTCAGCCTGGGGGTGGTGGGACCACGCACCCCCTTGGCTTCTAGATCGTGGCCCGCAGCATGGTGGACCGCGGGGTGCCGGGCTCCATCGTCAACGTGTCCAGCATGGTGTCCCACGTGCCCTTCCCCAGCCTCAGCGTTTACAGTGAGTCCTTCTGTCTGGCCCTCGCCCGTTCCCCGCGCAGCCGGGCCCCCAGGCTGGGCAGTGCCCAGAGGAGGTCCTCAGTGCTGCCCTCCCCACAGGCTCCACCAAGGGCGCCATGACCATGCTGACCAAAGTCATGGCCCTGGAGCTGGGGCCGCACAAGGTGGGGCGTGTGAGGGGCAGCGGGGGCAGGGGCAGCCCAGAGGCGGACCCAGCGGGCGCGGGAGGTCGGGGCTGAGGCCGCCTCTCGCCTCTTGGCCCAGATTCGGGTGAATTCTGTGCACCCCACGGTGGTGCTGACGGCCATGGGGAAGCGCGTCACGGCGGACGAGGAGATCACCCGGAAGCTGAAGGAGCGCCACCCGCTGCGCAAGTTTGCTGGTCAGCGCGGCTCGGGGAGGGTGGGCGCGGCGGGGCCCGCGGGCCGCTGCCTCTGACGCCCCCTTCGCCGCCGCAGAGGTGGAGGACGTGGTCAACAGCATCCTCTTCCTGCTCAGCGACTGCAGCGCCTCCACGACCGGCTCGGGCATCATGGTGGACAGCGGGTACCTGGCCTCCTAGGCCGTGCCCCAGCGGCCTGGTCTTACCCCCCCATCCAGAGCCCCCCACACTTGAAGCCTGTGGCCCGCGGGGGCCCTGTCTAATAAAAGGAGGTGTTCTCCCGGAACAGTGCCCGCGAGGCTCCAGGGCGCGGCGGGGCGGGGAGGGGGCGCTGGGGGACACGTTTCTCTAGTCTGGGCGCCCCGCCACCTCCCTAGCAGCCGAGGCCCTGAGGCTCCCCCGTCCAGACTCTCCCCAGGACAGCCACGTGGGGGGCACCGCGGCCCTACATCGGGCACGCCTGGGGGTCAGGGGGGGGGGGGTGGGGGTGCAGGGCATGTGGCAGGCCTGGGCCAGGGTGGGTAGGGGCCGCCCTAGCTGAGTCCCGGCTGGGGGCCGGGCTCGCCCTCCCTAGGCATCCAACCCTGGCCCCCACACCTCCTCCACAAGACCACCGGGAGGGGACTGCGCCCTGGGGAAGGGGCCACAGCCCAGCGCTGCCCAGCCCCTGCGGAAGCCCACCTCAGCCCAGGCCGGGCAGCGCGGGCACCCGGGCTCCCCTGGGGCACTGCGATGTGAGGCCGAGGGGGCCAGTCAGCCCTGCTGGTGCGGTGGCCGCCCCGAGCAAGGGGGCTGGGAGCAAGGGCCACTGCAGCCGGGACGGGGGAAACTGGTGGGGTGGGGTGGGGTGGAGGGGTTGGGGCACTCTGGCCCGTCAGCAGGGCCCCCCAGAGCCAGCGCCCACTGCCCTGGTCAGTCCAGCCGGCCCCCCCAGGCTCACGGGTCAGGGAGGACAGGACAACCTCCTGGGGCCAGCGGAGCCACCAAAGCGCTGCGGGAGGACAGGCTGGGGGGTCTGCGCGGAGTGGGGGCAGGGCTGCGGGCGCCAGCGGTGGGCTGAGCCACAGACGGCCCCGGGGCGCAGGGAGGCCGCCCTGCCTCCTCCTGTGGCCCGGGCCGCCCTCCCGGCAGCCTGGCCGCCTCTCTGGGCCCAAAGTCCAGGGACCCGGCGGCAACCCCCCGAACCTGCTGCTGGCCACCCGGTGGTGGGGCTGTGGGTCCCACATTCGCCCACCCGACCCCCTGCAACGCTGGAGCCTGCCCCTCTGGGCGACCCCACAGCCCCCCTCCCCGTCCCTGCTGGTGTTTCAAGGGCGGTGGCCCGAGGGCATCGGGGTCGCTGGGGTCCAACGCGCCCTGGGCTCGCGGGCAAGGCGGGAAAGGGCCGCGGTCCTGGCCGAGGCCCCTCCCGGGCCGGAGCGAGGCGGGTCGGCCGAGCGCTCGGCTGCCCGCGGGCGCCCGCGGCCCCTCCCGGCGGCCGCCCCGCCCCGGCCGCGCCCGCGCCCCGGCCAATCGCCCCGCGCCGGGTCCCGCCCCGGCCGGCCCCGCCCCCGGCCGCCCCGGCGCCCTCCCGGGCCCCGCGCCGCGCGCGCAGTCGGGCCCGCCGCGAGCAGCCGGACGCGCCATGGAGCTGGGGCTCGCGGGCCGCCGCGCGCTGGTCACCGGGGCGGGCAAAGGTGGGGCGGCCGCGGGGCGGGGCGCGCGGGGCCGAGCCCGGGCGGGGGCGCCGCACTGAGCCCCGCGCCCCGCGCCCCGCAGGCATCGGGCGCTGCGCGGTGCGGGCGCTGCACGCGGCGGGGGCGCAGGTGGTGGCCGTGAGCCGGACGCGCGCCGACCTGGACGCGCTGGTCCTCGAGGTAACCCGGGCCCCCCGCACCCCTCCCGGGCGCAGCCCCCGCCGGCGGCCGCGTGGCCGGGCGCCCCGACGCCCTCTGGGCTTGGAAGGAGGGGTGGGCCGGGCGGCCTCGCAGCCCGCGGGCGCTGGCGCCGCAGGAAGTGGACGGGCTTGCCCGACGCCCAGGCGCTGCGGCCCTCCGGGCCCCTGCCCTCCCCGCGCCCCGCCTGCTCCCCCATGGCGGCAGAGGCCGGCGTGCCCTTCGGTGGGCGGGCGCCCCTGCTAGCTGCCCCAACCCTGCAGTGCCCGGGCGTGGAGCCCATCTGCGTGGACCTGGGCGACTGGGAGGCCACGGAGCGGGCGCTGGGCGGCGTGGGCCCCGTGGACCTGCTGGTGAACAACGCGGCCGTGGCGCTGCTGCAGCCCTTCCTGGAGGTCACCAAGGAGGCCTTCGACAGGTGGGCGGCGGGGGGCGGGTGCAGCTGGACAGGGGTAAGGACCTGGAGCCGGGGTGACCGGGCCCCCCCACTGTCTGCCCCAGGTCATTCAGTGTGAACGTGCGTTCTGCCTTCCAGGTGTCTCAGGTGAGCCGGGGAGGGGGCTCGGGGTCAGCCTGGGGGTGGTGGGACCACACACCCCCTTGGCTTCTAGATCGTGGCCCGCAGCATGGTGGACCGCGGGGTGCCGGGCTCCATCGTCAACGTGTCCAGCATGGTGTCCCACGTGCCCTTCCCCAGCCTCAGCGTCTACAGTGAGTCCTTCTGTCTGGCCCTCGCCCGTTCCCCGCGCAGCCGGGCCCCCAGGCTGGGCAGTGCCCAGAGGAGGTCCTCAGTGCTGCCCTCCCCACAGGCTCCACCAAGGGCGCCATGACCATGCTGACCAAAGCCATGGCCCTGGAGCTGGGGCCGCACAAGGTGGGGCGTGTGAGGGGTAGCGGGGGCAGGGGCAGCCCAGAGGCGGACCCAGCGGGCGCGGGAGGTCGGGGCTGAGGCCGCCTCTCGCCTCTTGGCCCAGATTCGGGTGAATTCTGTGCACCCCACGGTGGTGCTGACGGCCATGGGGAAGCGCGTCACGGCGGACGAGGAGATCACCCGGAAGCTGAAGGAGCGCCACCCGCTGCGCAAGTTTGCTGGTCAGCGCGGCTCGGGGAGGGTGGGCGCGGCGGGGCCCGCGGGCCGCTGCCTCTGACGCCCCCTTCGCCGCCGCAGAGGTGGAGGACGTGGTCAACAGCATCCTCTTCCTGCTCAGCGACTGCAGCGCCTCCACGACCGGCTCGGGCATCATGGTGGACAGCGGGTACCTGGCCTCCTAGGCCGTGCCCCAGCGGCCTGGTCTTACCCCCCCATCCAGAGCCCCCCACACTTGAAGCCTGTGGCCCGCGGGGGCCCTGTCTAATAAAAGGAGGTGTTCTCCCGGAACAGTGCCCGCGAGGCTCCAGGGCGCGGCGGGGCGGGGAGGGGGCGCTGGGGGACACGTTTCTCTAGTCTGGGCGCCCCGCCACCTCCCTAGCAGCCGAGGCCCTGAGGCTCCCCCGTCCAGACTCTCCCCAGGACAGCCACGTGGGGGGCACCGCGGCCCTACATCGGGCACGCCTGGGGGTCAGGCCGGGGGGGGGGGGTGGGGGTGCAGGGCATGTGGCAGGCCTGGGCCAGGGTGGGTAGGGGCCGCCCTAGCTGAGTCCCGGCTGGGGGCCGGGCTCGCCCTCCCTAGGCATCCAACCCTGGCCCCCACACCTCCTCCACAAGACCACCGGGAGGGGACTGCGCCCTGGGGAAGGGGCCACAGCCCAGCGCTGCCCAGCCCCTGCGGAAGCCCACCTCAGCCCAGGCCGGGCAGCGCGGGCACCCGGGCTCCCCTGGGGCACTGCGATGTGAGGCCGAGGGGGCCAGTCAGCCCTGCTGGTGCGGTGGCCGCCCCGAGCAAGGGGGCTGGGAGCAAGGGCCACTGCAGCCGGGACGGGGGAAACTGGTGGGGTGGGGTGGGGTGGAGGGGTTGGGGCACTCTGGCCCGTCAGCAGGGCCCCCCAGAGCCAGCGCCCACTGCCCTGGTCAGTCCAGCCGGCCCCCCCAGGCTCACGGGTCAGGGAGGACAGGACAACCTCCTGGGGCCAGCGGAGCCACCAAAGCGCTGCGGGAGGACAGGCTGGGGGGTCTGCGCGGAGTGGGGGCAGGGCTGCGGGCGCCAGCGGTGGGCTGAGCCACAGACGGCCCCGGGGCGCAGGGAGGCCGCCCTGCCTCCTCCTGTGGCCCGGGCCGCCCTCCCGGCAGCCTGGCCGCCTCTCTGGGCCCAAAGTCCAGGGACCCGGCGGCAACCCCCCGAACCTGCTGCTGGCCACCCGGTGGTGGGGCTGTGGGTCCCACATTCGCCCACCCGACCCCCTGCAACGCTGGAGCCTGCCCCTCTGGGCGACCCCACAGCCCCCCTCCCCGTCCCTGCTGGTGTTTCAAGGGCGGTGGCCCGAGGGCATCGGGGTCGCTGGGGTCCAACGCGCCCTGGGCTCGCGGGCAAGGCGGGAAAGGGCCGCGGTCCTGGCCGAGGCCCCTCCCGGGCCGGAGCGAGGCGGGTCGGCCGAGCGCTCGGCTGCCCGCGGGCGCCCGCGGCCCCTCCCGGCGGCCGCCCCGCCCCGGCCGCGCCCGCGCCCCGGCCAATCGCCCCGCGCCGGGTCCCGCCCCGGCCGGCCCCGCCCCCGGCCGCCCCGGCGCCCTCCCGGGCCCCGCGCCGCGCGCGCAGTCGGGCCCGCCGCGAGCAGCCGGACGCGCCATGGAGCTGGGGCTCGCGGGCCGCCGCGCGCTGGTCACCGGGGCGGGCAAAGGTGGGGCGGCCGCGGGGCGGGGCGCGCGGGGCCGAGCCCGGGCGGGGGCGCCGCACTGAGCCCCGCGCCCCGCGCCCCGCAGGCATCGGGCGCTGCGCGGTGCGGGCGCTGCACGCGGCGGGGGCGCAGGTGGTGGCCGTGAGCCGGACGCGCGCCGACCTGGACGCGCTGGTCCTCGAGGTAACCCGGGCCCCCCGCACCCCTCCCGGGCGCAGCCCCCGCCGGCGGCCGCGTGGCCGGGCGCCCCGACGCCCTCTGGGCTTGGAAGGAGGGGGCGGGGCGGGCGGCCTCGCAGTCCGCGGGCGCCGGCGCCGCAGGAAGTGGACGGGGAGGCGGCCCGACTCCGCCCGCCCAGCCCGGCTTGGCCCGACGCCCGGGCGCTGCGGCCCTCCCGGCCCCTGCCCTCCCCGCGCCCCGCCTGCTCCCCCATGGCGGCAGAGGCCGGCGTGCCCTCCGGTGGGCGGGCGCCCCTGCTAGCTGCCCCAACCCTGCAGTGCCCGGGCGTGGAGCCCATCTGCGTGGACCTGGGCGACTGGGAGGCCACGGAGCGGGCGCTGGGCGGCGTGGGCCCCGTGGACCTGCTGGTGAACAACGCGGCCGTGGCGCTGCTGCAGCCCTTCCTGGAGGTCACCAAGGAGGCCTTCGACACGTGAGTGGGGCAGGGAGGGCGGGGAGCCCTGCGCAGCACCCAGGCCCAGCCCAGCACCTGTCCGTCCATCTCAGGTCCTTCGAGGTGAACCTGCGAGCCGTCATCCAGGTGTCCCAGGTGAGCTGGGGTCCCGGGTGAGGCCCTTTGGGTCACAGGCCCCCACCTCATGCTCCCTCTGCCCTGCAGATCGTGGCCCGGGGCCTGATCACCCGGGGTGCCCCCGGCGCCATCGTGAATGTCTCCAGCCAGGCCTCGCAGCGCGCGCTGACCAACCACAGCGTCTACTGTGAGTGGCCCCGGCCGTGCCCGCCCACGCCCCAGCTGCCCCCTCAGGCTCACGCCCCGGTCCCCCTCAGGCTCCTCCAAGGGCGGCCTGGACATGCTCACCAAGGTGATGGCGCTGGAACTCGGGCCGCACAAGGTAAGACGCGGCCATCCCCCCAGCCCCAGCCGGCGCCCGCCACCACGCCCAGCCTGTCCCTGTGCGCAGATCCGCGTGAACGCCGTCAACCCCACCGTGGTCATGACTCCCATGGGCCAGGCCAACTGGAGCCACCCCCAGAAGGCCAAGTGCATGCTGGACCGCATCCCGCTGGGCAGGTTTGCAGGTGAGTGGGGAGCCTGCGGGCGGGGTGGGGCCAGATGGAGACGGGGCAGTAGCGCCTTCATCCGCGCCTGCCCCGCCCGCCAGAGATGGAGAACGTGGTGGACACCATCCTGTTCCTGCTCAGTGACCGGAGCAGCATGACCACGGGCTCCACAGTGCCAGTGGACGGGGGCTTCCTGGCCACCTGAGTCCCTGCCCCCCACGCCAAGCCTGTCCTCGCTCCCCTAATAAACATGGTTCTCTTGTGCATCGATTCCAAAGCTGCCAGGAAGTGGCCGGGGACATGGGGTGCAGGCGCCGTCCAAGGGGGAGGCCTGGTTTGGCTCACGTCCAGCTGGCAGCTCCGGCCAGGGGGCTGCAGGGCCTGGCAGAGGACCAGCTCCCAGGGGGGCTGGTGGCGGGACCCAGCGGCTCTCACTCTGTCCAGCAGCCTCCGTTTTGAAAGGCTCTGTGTGCAGTTCTGGCGTGGGGCTGGTGGGCAGCCCCTGACCTCCACCAGACCCAGGGGGACGCGGGGCGTGCGGAAGGCATGAGGCTGTGGGTGGCCGAGGGGCCGGCTCGCTGCATCAGACCTGTGCTTGTCGGCCGCACAAGCAGTCGCCACCGAGCCCCCAGCCCCTCAGGCTGCAGCCTGGGCAGCACCGTCCAGCGTGGTCAGAGCGGCGGGGGTGCTTGTCCGTGCGGCCCCACCCCACAACGTGACTTCACTGGATGGCCGGGGCGGCTCGGGGAGCACCCGCTGCAGGCCGGGCCGTGGCTCTGGGCCTCCGAGCTGACCCGCTTCCCCCACCAGCTGTGCCAGGTGGCACTGACCTTGCTGGCCCCACCAAGCCTGGCCTCCCAACCCCTCTCCCTGGGCCCAGAAGCCCCCTCTTGCTGATGTCTCCAAAGCTGGGCCACCTAGGCCCTGGCAGGTGGGGGAGGGCAGGGCCAGACCCCGCCTCCAGAGGCCCCGACCGTTGGGCGGGCACCCAGCACGTGTTCCCACAATGCGCTGGGTGGGCTCAGCGCGCTGCTGCAAGCCCCAGTTGCCCAGGATGGGGTCAGGCTGGCCCGCCCTCCTCGGGGCAGGGTTCAGCACCCCCCCTCCCCGTGCGCGTGAGCGTGCATGAGCCAGGAGGAGACCTTGGCGGAGGAAGTTTATTGTACAAAACAAGAGGGGCCCCCTCAGGGAGGCCCAGCTGGGGGCTGCCCTGGGCTGGCCCCCATGGCCTGAGGGAGACCCTGCTCCCGCCTGGCCTCCCACGGGGTGGGACAAGAGGCCACAGACAAGACCTCCAACCCCAGAGCCCCATGCTCCCTCCTCGGGCGCCCCAGGCAGCGGCGGCCTCTCCCCTAGAAGACGGTGCACTTCTTGCCCGGCTTCCTCACGGGCGGTGGGCAGAGCACGGCCCGGATGGCCTCGTCGAACACCGTCTTGAGGCCCCGCTGAGTCAGGGCCGAGCATTCCAGGTACTTGACGGAGCCTGGGGAGGCAGGGGGCGAGGTCAGAGGTGGGGGCTGCGCTGCTAGGGCGGGAGTGCCCCCTGCGCCCCCACGCACCGATCTCTCGGGCCATGGCCAGCCCCTGGGGGTAGGTGATGGGGGCCAGCTTCTTGTCCCGCAGCCGCTCGATGGTGTCCTTGTCGTCGCGGAGGTCCAGCTTGGTGCCCACCAGGAGGATGGGCGTGTGCGGGCAGTGGTGCCGCACCTCTGGGTACCACTGTGGGGACAGGCTGGCTCTTGGGGTGGCCGGTGGGGACTGGGGGCCGCTCCCTGAGCCCGCCTGGCACCGGGGCTCCCCGCACACAGTCCTGAGGCTGCCCCCCACAGGGACAGGCCAGGCACGAAGACACCCACGGGGTCTGCCGAAGGGCTCCAGGGGCCTTGGGTCGGCGCCAACGGGCCGGCCCTCGGCAAGCCCTGGCACCCCAGACAGGACAGGCTGGGGGGGCTCCGGCGCGGCCTCCACCCCCGGCCAGCCCGCGGGGACAGCACCCTCCTACCTTGGCGCGGACGTTCTCAAAGGAGGCGGGGCTCACCAGGGAGAAGCAGATCAGGAAGACGTCCTGGGGAGGGGCGCGCGTCAGGGGCGCGGGGCGGCCCGGCCCCCCGCCCCCCGGCCGCCCGCACCTACGGTTTGGGGGTAAGACAAGGGGCGCAGGCGGTCGTAGTCCTCCTGCCCGGCGGTGTCCCACAGCCCCAGGTTGACCGGCTTCCCGTCCACCATCACGTTGGCGGAGTAGTTGTCGAACCTGCGGGCAGGGCGGGTTGGCGGGGCCGGGCCGGGCCGCCCCCGCGCGCCCCGCCCGCCCCCCGCGCCCCGCCGCCGCGGCGCTCACACGGTGGGGATGTACTCGCCGGGGAAGGCGTTGGTCGTGTAGCTGATGAGCAGGCAGGTCTTGCCCACGGCGCTGCGGGCAGACAGCGCGCCCGTTGCTGCGGCCCGGCCCGGCCCGGCCCGCGCCCCGCGCCCCGCGCCCCGGCCGCCGGCGCAGGACCGAGCCCGGGGCGGGGGGCCGGACCCCGCGGGGCGGCGGCGGCGGCAGGTGGGCCCGGGCCGGAGCCGGGGCCGCGCCCCCGCCCCCGCCCCCGCCCCCGCCCCCGGGGCGCGCACTCACCCGTCGCCGACCACCACGCACTTGATGGCCTGCATGGGCGCGGCCGGGCGGCGCGGCCGCCAGCGAGCTGCGGAGAAATGCCCGCGCCCCGGCCGCGCCGAGCCGCGCCGGAGACAGCCGAGCGCCGCCGAGCCCGCGCGGAGACGGCCGAGCGCCGCGGGGCGGGGGGCGCGCCCGGCCCCCGCGCGCCCGCCCCTCCGGGAGCCGGCGGCGCCCCGCGCGGGGGGGCTGCGGCGGGCGGGGAGGGGGCGCGCCCCGCCCGGCCGCCCCGCCCCCCGCCCGGCCCGGCGGTCCCGCCCCCCGGCCCGCGCCCCCCGCGGCCCGCGCCCCCCGCGGCCCGCGCCCCCCCCGCCCCGCCCCCCGGCGCGCGCCCCCCCGCCCGGCCGCCCCGCCCCCCGGCGCGCGCCCCCCCGCCCGGCGGCCCCGCCCCCCGGCGCGCGCCCCCCCGCCCGGCGGCCCCGCCCCCCGCCCCCCCGCGCGCGCCCCCCCAGCGCCGGCGGAGAGAGGCGCGAGCGCAGCGCGAGGACAAGGTGCAAAGCGTGTATTTGACGCGGCCGCGAGGCGGCTCGGGGCGGGGGGGTCACTTCTGGGGGCCCAGCGCCCGCGGCGGGGCGCCCCGCACGTAGGCCAGCACCGCGCTCTGCAGGGCGCGGGCGCGCAGCGCCTCCTCCTCCCGCGCGCGCGCCGCCGCGGCCTCCCGCAGCCGCAGCTCCTCGCGCAGGGCCGCGATCTCGCCGTCCCGGTCCAGCAGCGCCTCCCGGTGGTCGCTGGCGAGCGCTGCGGGGGGCGCTCAGTGAGGGGCGCGGCCCCCCGGGCCCCCCAGCGCCCCCGGCGCGAGCGGGCGGCACCTTTCAGCCGGCGCTCCAGCGCGCCCGCCTTCTCCCGCTGCGCCTCCCGCGCCGCCAGCTCGGCCTGCAGGCGGCCGACCTGCCCCTGCATCTCCGCGCGCGCGCGCGCCACGGCCGCCAGCCGCTCCTGCTCCTGGCCGCTCAGCTCCTGCCGGGCGGGCGGGGCGGGTGAGGGCGGGGGGCGCCGGGGCGCGCCCCGCCCGCCCGCCCCGGAGCGCCCCTACCTGCTGCAGCTCCTCCACGCGCCGCCTCAGGCCCTCCACCTGCAGGCCCAGCTGGCCGGCCCGCGCCTGGGCGTCGGCCACCGTCTGCTGCTGCTGCAGGCAGGCGCTCTGGGCCTCGTCCCGGGCCCGCCCCAGCAGCCGCAGCTTCTCCTCCAGGTGCGCCTGGCGCTGCTGCTGCGGGGCGGAGCGGCAGGTGAGCGCAGCCGGCTGCGGCTCAGGGGCGCGAGGACGGGGCGAGCCGCCCACGCAGGGCAGCCAGAGGCCCCACTGGAAGGAGGTCCTGCGCCCCTCTGGCCGCAGGGTCCTGGGCTGAGCCGGGGCCGGATGGCCGTGGCTTCAAGGAGACAGGCGTCCACACCCCACACCCAGCAACTCCCACCCCCGCCCCCCGGCTCCGGGCTGACCCCTCGCGCGTGGCGACCTGCGGTTCCCTTGCTGGCGGGCTCGGCTCACCTCCTCCAGGCGGACCTGGTTCTTGGCCTTGATGAGCTCCTCCTCCGCCTGGCCGCGCTCACAGAGAGCCCCGGCCCGGGCCCTGCTCAGCTCCTGTGCCACAGAGAGCCCTGCCGAACCGCCCGCCCACCTGCCCCTACTCTGGCCCCAGGGCGGCCAGGCCCACCCCGCAGGCAGGCAGGGCCTCACCTCCTCCAGGGCCAGCCTCGTGTTCTCCAGCCTCTGCACCCTCTCCTGCGCGGCCCTCTCACTGTCCTCCAGGTGGCGCGTCAGGTGCTCCACCTGTGGGGGGCGGGGGGGGGGGCGAGGCTGGCAGCTGGCCCTCCAGCAGTCCCCTCCCAGGATCCCCCAGCCCAGGAGGCAGGTGAGTCTTGGGGACCCTGTTCCTGCTGAGGAGGGGCTGCCTGAGCGGCATCGCAGGAAGGGAGGCTGGTGCCCCCCGGGAGAAGCAGCACCTGGGACCCCAGAGTGGGGGAGCCCTCCAAGGAGCCCACGGCCCGGGGTGGGGGCAACACACACTCAGGGCACCTCCTTGGCACGCAGGCGCTCTGCGTCCTCCAGGGCCTGCCGGGACCTCTGCTTCTCCATCTCCAGGCGCTCTGCAAATCCAGGGGAGCACTGGCACCAGGGGTCCCTGGCCCGCACCCCCTGCCAACCCCCCAGGCGGCCCGGCATGCCCACCCTCTGCCTGGACAACACGCATCTTCAGCTCGGCCACCGTGTGGGTCAGCTCCTGCCTGGCCAGGAACAGCTGCTCCTGCTGGGCCTTCCCCTTCCGCTCCAGGTCATCCACCTGCAGGCGCCGCGGGCAGGAAGCTGCAGCATCTCCGCTGGCCGCCCGGCCCCGGGCCCCCCAGTCATACCTGACTCCGCAGCAGCAGGTTCTTCTCGCTGGCGGCTGACAAGTCTCTCAGGAGCTTGGACTCCCGTTCTGCGGCCTCCTGGAGAGCACAGGTAAGAGCACCTGTCACCTGCTGCTTGGCAAGGCCCCGCCTACCACCCGGCCCTCGGCCCACCTGCTGCTCCAGCCTGTGCTCCTTCTCCCGCCTCTGCGCCAGGCTCCACTGCTCTTGCTCGGCGGAGGCCAGGCGCTGCCCCAGGTCCTCGGCCTTCTGCTCAGACAGAGCTAGGGCGGCCTCGGCCATCTGCAGCCTGACAGGCAGGAGCCGCTCGCCTCTGCCCCCCGCCCTGCCTCCTGCCCGGTGTTGCCCACCTGCTCTCACCCCTTGCAGGAGGCCTTGCGGGGTGACCGCCGCTGCTTTGGTGCTGACGCCACCCCCCCCCACATCGAAGGTGCCCCCGGCCGCTGCCCCCATACTTGGCCTTCAGGGCGCTGATGACGGAGTGTCTCTCGGCCAGGGCTTCCTGGAGCTGCCCCACCCGCGACGCAGACACCCTACAGGCAGAGGAGGGTCCCAGGAGCCACCCCAGGCCCCGCTGGCTTCTCCAGCTGGCCAGGCTCTGGGCCAGAGGAGCCGGTGCCTCCTGCCCCAGCGCTTCCCCGCCCACCGCGCACGCAGCTGAGGCCGGACCGGGCTGCGCTCACCGGCTGCTCCGGGCCATCTCTTCCCGCTGCTTGTCGATCGTCCCCATCAAGTCCAGGAACTGGGGGCAGAGCCAGCCCGTCAAGAGCCCAGTCTGCCCGCCCAGGGGGCAGGTGCAGGACGTCCCAGAGGCTCCAGGGAGGCCGGCCCGGGAGCCCACCGCCCAGGGCTGCCCAGAAGCACTCAGGCCTCGAGCGAGGACAAGACCGGGCACGGGGCCGGCGTCCACTGCGCCCACCTGCTTGGACTTCTCTTCCCGCAGGTGCCGCACCTCTTCGCTGAGCACGCGCCTGCGGGCCTGGCTCTCCCTCAGGGTGCTCTGCTGCGCCTGGCTGTGGCCCATGGCTTGCTCTGCAGGAGGGGCCTGGTGAGGCTGCGTCTCCCCGCCCCCCCCACCCGACACGCCCCAGGCACGGGGGGGGGGGGGGGGGCCCCAAGGCTTCGGCGGGGGCGGCGGCAAGGGAGAGGTGGGCACGGGGTAGAGGAGCTGCTGGATGTGTTGTGAGGAACGCCGTGCCCGGGCACCTGGCTGCGCCTCAGAGATGCCTCAGCAGGTGAAGGCCGCCAAAGACCCGAGAAGGGAGGCGGGGCAGGTGCACACCGCCGGAGGGGGACCCCAGGAGGGCCCGGGCGGCACAGCCCCCTGCCGCCCGTCCGCAGGCAAAGGGGCTAGGCCCTGGTGCAGCCTTAGGGACTGGCAACACTGGGGGGAGGGGACGGGCGCTGTGGGCCGGGTACCCCACTCACACTGGGCCAGCCCCCTGGGTGACTGACGGCGACTTGCCAGCGGGTCCAGGGGCCGAGTGCCCACCAGGGCTGGGCTTGAGAGCCGCCGTGCCACCCAGGCCACGCCTTCCCAGGCGACTGCTCCACAGCAGCTGGCAGCCTTTGCGCCCGTACCCATGGCTCTGAGGATGTCGCCAGGGATGCTGTTCCCAGCCAACTCCAGCCTCCTCAGGGTCTTGTTTCCCGGGAGACAGTTCACCAGGGCCCGGCCCCCCAGGAGGCCGATGTTGTTCCAGCGCAGGTCTGGAGGAGGAGCGTCGTCACAGTGGGCCTCGAGCGAGGCCCCCAGCACCCTTGGGCGCGGCCTACCCAGCTGCTGCAGGCCCCCCGGCACCCTCGGGCATGGCCTACCCAGCTGCTGCAGGCTGGTGTTCCTGGGCAGGGCCAGGGCCAGCTCCGCAGCGCCCGCGTGGCTGATCTGGTTGTTGCGGAGATCAAGCTGCTGCAGGGTACTGTTGGCTGCCAGAGCCCCGCAGAAGGTGGCAAAGGCATCCTCCCAGGCGCCCAGGCTGTTCCACTCCAGGGTGAGGCTGCAGAGGGGAGATGTGAGGGGCTCCCAGGGGCCCAGGCTTTGGGAGGAGGGGGCAGAGCGGGGCATGCCTCACCTCTGGATGGACTTGTTCTGCCGGAGAAGCGCTGCCAGGGCCTCCGTCCCCACCGCCCGCAGGTTATTGCCCTAGGGCAGCAAGAGCCTGGAGTCACTCCCCATGGCCCCTGGTCGCTGACACCCCAAAGGGCCCGGCCAGGCAGCGGGCTGCAAGCTGGGACAGAAGTGCGCCTCTCAGGCATGGTGACCCCCAGGGCCTGCGGCCCCTGCAGCTGGCCTCAGTGAATGCAGTGGAACCCTGCCCCTCACCCGCGTGAGCGTCAGCGGGCAGCCCGGAGGTCCAGTGCCTCCAAAGCTCACCACCCCCTCTTGTCTGCATCGGAGACCTCAGAAACCTCCAAGCCTTGGCCAGGGAGTGGGGTGCTCCTGGTCCCCCTCCAGTCAGACCAGGGGCAGCCGCGAAGGCCTGGGCAGCGGCGCTCACCTTCAGGTCCAGACACCGCACGACAGAGTTGGCACACAGCCCCTGGAGCAGCAGGGTGGCCCCTGGAAGGGGGAGGGGTCACTGCAGGCTGGCTGGCTGCCCCCCCCCCGGGTTTCATGCTGTCTCCAGCACCTCCTAAACCGGGGGCCCAAGGGCCTCGTGGTTGCAAGGGGAAACTGCCCCCCGCCGCCAGGCCCGAGAAGGAGCCTGCCGGCCTGCGCTGCGGCAGAGGGGCGGACCTCCCCGGGAGCGGGGTGGCGGCCCCGGGGACCGGCTGGCGCGCAGCAGCCGCCCTGCCCGGCGCCCACCTTCCTCGCCCAGCATGCAGTCGCTCAGGACCAGCTCGGTGAGCGGCGCCTCGCTCTGCAGCAGCGTGCCCAGCGCCCGGCAGGTGTCCCCCGTCAGGCTGTGCGCGGCCAGGTCCAGCCGGCCCGCGGGCAGCTCGCGCAGCCGCTGCAGGACGGCCTCCTGGGGCTCGGCCCCGCTCTCCCGGCACAGGCGGCCGTAGGCGCGCCCGAGCGCCTCCATGTCCCGGGGCTGCGGGGCGCCGGCCGCGCGCCCGCCGGCCTCGGCGCGCACCCGGGCAGCTCGGGCTGGGGCGCGGGGGCCCCGCGGAAGAGGGGCCCGCGGGCGGGAGGGGCGAGGGGAGGGCTCCGGCCGGGCGGCCAGGCGCCTCGCGCCCCCCGGGTGCACGGTCCCCGCGCCGGCCCCGCGCCCGCTCGACCGGCCGCCCCGCGCCTCGGTATCCAGGAAGAGCAGGGCGCGCCGGGAAGGCGCCGACGGAGACTACAACTCCCAGGAGGCTTTGCGGAGGGGCGCTGGCGCGGGCCAATGAGCGTGAAGGGGAGGGCGCGGCCGCGGACCCGGGGACCGCTGGACGGAGGCGCGGTGGGCGGGGCGCGGGGCGCGCGCTCCGGACCCATTGGCTAGAGGCGCGGCGGGCGGGGCGCGGGGGCGGGGCTCGCGGGCGGGGGCGGGGCCCGGAAAGCCGCCGGGACCGCGCGATGGAGGTCGCCGGCGCGGGCTTCCGCAAGGTGGAGGGGCCCGCGGGGCGCCGCGGCGGGGGCCCCGGGGGAGGCGCGGAGGCCGGGGCGCCCGGGGCGGGGGCGGCCGTCTGCGGGGGCGGGGCGGCGCCCGGGTGGGGCCCTCGGGAGGGCCTGGCAGGGGCCCGCGGCCTCCCGGGCGCGTCTCCCGGGCTCGCGCGCCCGCCCTGCCCAGAAGGCGCCCGCGGCCCGGGAGGGAGAGGGGGCGGGGGTCCGCCCCGCGGGCGGCGTCCCCCCAGACGTGGCGCCGAGGCGCGGCCCCGAGGCTCCGGCCAGAGCGGGCCTGCCGGGGCCGCAGCGGCTGCCCCGGCGGGGGCACCCCGGGGCGCCGTCCGGGCACCCGACTCTCCCGCCCCTTCGGGCCTCCTGGGCGGCAGCAAGAGGCCCGCCGGGGGCGCCACGCGCGCGGGCGGGGGGGGCCACTGCTGGCCACGGGCAAGATCCCGGCCGGGCTCTCGCCGCCCGCCCCTGGCGACTCCAGCTGCCCTCCCGCCCCCACTTGGCTCTGGGGGCACCTCTCCATGCTCCTCGTGCTTCGTGTCCCGGGCTGGTCTCCTGAGCCCCCAAGCCCCCTGCAGGGCGGCGCCACCCCGCGCCGGCCAGGGCGCCCCGCAGACGCCCGCTGCAGGGAGGGCCTGAGGGGCTGGCCCAGGCCTGCTGGACAGACCTGGGCAGGGGCTCGCCGGAGGCACGAGGGCCTTCTGGCTGCGGCACGGGCGTGCACCTCTGGAGGTTGCCAGTGGGAGGCTTCCCAGAACCCCAAAAAGAATCCCGTCCCCCTCCTGCCGTCCCCACTTGAAGCACTGAAGCCAGCCCCCGCACCTGCAGGACCTGGTCAGCAAGCTGCTGTGCCTGCATTTCAAGGATGACAAGACCCGAGGTGCGTGGGCACCTGTGGGAGGCTGCGGGGTGCCAGGGGTGGGAGGCAGCCCCCCAACCAGCTACCCTTTGCAGTCAGTGGGGATGCACTGCGGCTCTCGGCGGAGCTGCTGAAGATCTTCGTGGTGGGTGAGCCCCCAGGCCCCTGCAGACGCCCACCCACCCCCAGGCCTGATCTCCCCGGGTGGGGTCCCTGCCCGCCCACCCGCCCGCCCCTCCCACCCCCGTGTCCCGCAGAGGCGGCCGTGCGCAGTGTCCGGCAGGCCCAGGCGGAGGACCTGGCCCGAGTGGACGTGGACCACCTGGAGAAGGTGCTGCCGCAGCTGGTAGGTGGTGGGGCTGGGGGGGTGGGGGAGGCCTTCTGGGTGGCCACGCCGGTGCCTGAGTGTCCCTCCCCTCAGCTCCTGGACTTCTAGGTGCCCGGCAGGGAAGGAGCCGCGCTCACGCCGCTGGAGCCCCATGGCCAGTCCCCCCAGACACGCCTCGCAGCAGCCAGAGGGCCTGTGGCGGGCAGCGGGGAGCGGGACGGGCCGGCCCAGGCCGCAGCAATAAACTGGCAACGCCCTCACCAGTCAGTCGTCCGCCCGCCTGGGGCCCGGGGCGGGGTCCTGGGGGGGGGGCCTCGCGCTCCTGGGAAGGGGGACATGGCGCCCCGGGGCTGCTCTGTCGGGGACAACAGCTGCACCAAGCAGCCGTGTCCCCCCCCCCCCCCCCCCCCCCCCCCCCCCCGGCCCCAGCTTCAAAGCGGCACATGTGGAAGCCATTAGGCCCGCGGGAACGGCCAGCGCTGGCCTGGAAAGCCCGCTGGTGGCGGGAGGGTCCGAGCGGGAGGCGGAGCCGGGCGGCCCTGCCCAGGGAGGACGCCAGTGTGCACAGAAGCTCTTTATTCGGGCGGCGGCGGCGCGGCAGGCGCGGGGCGGGTGCTCACCTCCTGCTGGCTGCAAGCACAGGGGATCTCAGGCCTGGGCTGGTGCCCACAGCCCTCCCCCCAACCGACCCCCCATACCTGGCAGCTTCAGCCACTTGGGCACCTTGCCCAGATCCCGCCTCAAAGGCTGGGCCAGCCCAGGGTGGGGCTCCGGGGTGGCCATGCCCCCCTCCTTGGCCGCGGGCTCCGGCTCCAGGGGCGCAGCATCAGGGGCTGCCGGCAGGGGTGAGGTCTGGGCAGCCCTGGACATACACCTGGGGACGAAGATCAGGCGTGGGATGGCAGGCCAGCGCCAGGTGGGCTCCAGCGCCCCCCGACACACTCACCTGGCCACCAGCATGTCGGCCGTTGACGGGGACACGGTGCGCTCCAGCAGCCTGGGCTCCAGATAGAGGCCTGCTCGAGATCAGCTGCCCTCAGTCGAGGAAGCCACTTGGGCTGTCCCACCAGGGCCCAGGGGCCGCAGAGACCACCCTGCTCCCTCCCAGACCCGGCCACCCACCTGCGGGCTTCTCAGCTCCAAGGTGCACCAGGGCGGCAGGAAAGAGGTTTGCCTGCAGGGAGGGTGGAGGGGCTCAGGCCCGGGGTGCAGGGCCTGCGCAGGCCCTTCCCGCTGCCCGCCCCCACCCCATCTCCTCAGCAGGGACCTGGCCAGGCAGCTCTCCGGGCCTGTGCTTGACCTGCCTCTGCCCACCTGGTCCCGCAGGGCAGCCCCCAGGCCTCACGGGGACAGGTGGGTGCGCCTGCTGGAGAGGGCCGAGGGCGCCCACTGGCCCAAGCTCAGGGGGCCAGGTCGGCACCCTGGCAGCTGGATGTGGGGGCGCCCTCAGCTGGCCAGGCCCAGGCCTGGGGGTGTTAAGAGTTGCTGCCCTTGAGAGTCCACCCGCCGGGACCCCCAAGCCCACGCTCTGCTGCCCCGACAGCCCTGAGGCTCGCCTTGGGGCGTCCCGGCCACCGTGTGTGGTGAGGCAGCGCCCGCCTGCACGGGTACTGGGCGAGGACCCTGGCTGCTCCCCACCGTGAGGCTGCGGCCAGCATGAGGCATGGACAAGAGTTGAGCCTCGAGGGGTCTGAGGCTGCTGCCGGGAGGGGTGGGGCACAGGGGTGGCAGGAGCAGGGGGGTATGTGAAGGGCGAGTCCCCGCCTCCCCTCAGCGCCCACCAGGCACCCGCTCCGTGGCTGCCCCCTTTGGGCTGAGGAGGGCCCCAAGCCTGATGCGGGACACTGGGCCTCGGGCCCCACCACCCGCGTCCTCCCCGCCGCCCCACGCCCACCCTCACTGCTGGGGCACAGCTGCCACCCCGACTGCGGCCCTGCAGACATGAAAGCTGGCGGCGTCCCCGCCTGCCCGCTCCCGGCCCTGCCAGCTCTGACTGCGGGCAGAGGCCCCAGGCCAGGCCGACAGATCAAAGGAGACAGCCGCTGGCCGGGTGTCGGGACCGCGGCGGGTCCCTCGCCCCACTCCCGACGCACCCTCCGGTCTCCATGTGCATCCACAGCCTGGCCGCCCCGCGCTCTGGGGCTCCTGGGCTGAGAGGGGGTGGCCTCCAGCCCCCCACCGGGCCATGTCTCTGCTCCCCCGCCCCCAGCCGGCAAGCAGACACCCCCCCGCCCGCCCCAGTAACAAGGGCCCGCTCTGCTACTAATTAGCCTTCTGGAGACTTTGAAGCGGGAACTATTAGGCCGGAGGGACTGGGAGGCCGCTGCTCTCCCGGGGCGAGGGCAGGACGTTTTCCTGCTCTAGACGGCAGGGCAGGGCGCCGGGCCAGCTCTGCTCACCCTCGGGAGCCTGCAGCACCCTGGAGCGGGCAGGGCAGCAGACCAGGCAGCAGCCAGTGCTCAGGGGCTTCCCAGGCAGCTGGGCCCCACAGCCCCACCGGCCGGCCCCTCACCCAGGCCCACCCCAGATGGGTGCTGGTCTCCTTGGGAGCCCCCACCAGGTCAAGCAGCAGAGGAGGCCGGGAGCCCAACCAGAAGCCGCCCCTGCTGCTGCAGCCCGGCCCAGCCCTCCCAGCAGCTCCCCCTCAGCTCGGCCCTGCCCACGAGGCCACACCTGGAAGAGGGTGAGGGTGTGGTCGTCCAGGAGGGTCTTGGGAGGAGCGATGACTGCGGAGAGACAGTGCGGCCGGTCAGGCCCCGCGCCACCTCTGCGGCTGCAGGGGCGGGGCCTCCACAGAGCCCGGGGAGCGCAGGAGGGAAGCGGCAGGGCGGGCAGCACAGGGGCGTGCGGGATGGGCACCCTGGGGGGGGTGGGGGCTCGGGCTGCAGGAGGGGGACAAGCACTCACACAGGTAGAACGGCAGGTCGGGGTTCCCCAGGTGGCTCCGCACGAAGTCCCGCAAATCCCCCACTGCAGGAGGGAAAAGGGGTTGGGAGGGAGGGGGACCAGCAACCAGGTCCCCCTGGCCAGCCCCCACGGCCCTCCGGGCCCCACTGTAGGGGTCATGGTCACCAAGATCCCCACCTGCTCTCAGGCGGGGTTCCCTCCCCGGAGAACAGCAGCCCCAGCCAGAGCATCCAGCTGGGTGGGGGCTGGGTCCACCTTCCTCTGGCCCCTTCTGTCCCGCAGGCCGGCTGGCACCCCAAGGCCCACAGGGGAGTCAGAAGGGGCTGGAGGGCCTCCTGGGGTCCTACCTGTCTCGCTGGGGCTGAAGAAGCCCTGAAGGATGTAGCGGTCAGGGAACAGGACCCTCAGGGCCACCTGGGCCAAGACAAGCCGCCGTCAGGGGGCAGTAGAGCCCGCCCGCCTGGAGACAGCACCCAGGCCAGGCTGCCTCCGGCCCTGCTGCCCACCCACACGGCCCGGCCCGGCCCGGGCCGCACAGCACCACACCTTGGGGTACCGCTCCAGCTTCTCCTTCCGCTGTGCCTCCCTGAAGGCCTTGGTCACCAGGGGGGCCTCCTCCAGGCGCTTCCTGGGGGGAGGGGGACAGTCTGGGCACGGCACTCGGGGAGGTGGGCTCAGCCCCCTCCCTGCCCGCCCCCCCCCCCCCACCGCCGACCCCAGGCCTCGTGGCCAGCCGGGCACACCCACCGCTCACTCTTGAGCTGGGCCAGGCGCCGCCTCACATCATCCACAGTCACCTCAAAGAACTCGTCTGGCAGCTCCGCCGGCCAGGCCTGGAGCAGCTCTTCCAGGTCAGGGTGGCAGACCACAGGCTCGCGCTCCACGGGCTGCAGGCAGGGGGGCCGCTGACGCCCAGGTGCCGGGGGCTCAGGGACCTGCTCCCCAGCAGGGCAGGCGGCCCTGGGCTCGGCCCCGGCACCCTTAGCACTGCGGGGGGAAGGGCTCAGCAAGGTCACCCCCCAAACGTCTGTGGGCCCCAGAGCAGGCCGCACACGGGGGCTCTGGGGGGCGGCACAGCGGCCGGCGGGGCACAGAGGGACGCGTCTCCTGCAGCAGCGCAGGGTACAGGGGCCAAGGCAGGGCTGCAGAGCCGAGCCCCCCCCCCCACAGAGGCTGGAAAGGGGCGGCAGGGCCACATCAGGCCTCCCCACGCTAAAGGGCACTGGAAGCCCCCACCCCTTGGCCCCTACCACCCCAACTCCCCGCAGCCCCTCCCAAAGCACAGCCTGGACACAGCTCACCTGCTCTCCAGGGCAGATACAGCCCTGGGGGCTACCAGGCCCAAGCCTGCCCAGGCCCAGGTACCAACTCTCTCAGCACCTGCAGGACCCCTGGGCACCCCCAGCTGTGCCCAAGACTGCACATCCGAGGCCCCAGCTTGCGGCCACCGGCCTCTGGGGTGCGCCAGGACACACCTCTGACCTGGGGCAGCGGCAGGAGGGCCGGCGGGGCCAGCAGCGGCCCTAGGTGGCTGCCCCTTCAAAGCCACGGCCGCCCTCAGCAGCTATAGGCTGTTTCCACCAGAGCTTTTCATAACAAGGTGCCAGGCGCCACACCGCCCCCACAGCCCCGTCGCCTGCATTCCAGAAGGTCCCGGAGCTGGCCGGGCGGGAGGAGGGCGCGGGCAGACGGCCAGCGCGGTGGACAGGCCGGAGCCACCGCGCCCAGTGCAGGCCTGGCGCAGACGGCCGGCAGCAGCTCCCAGCCTCGCGCGCGTCGGCTGAGGACCGGAGCCCACCCGCCCACCTTCACCCACCCAGGGCCGCGGCCACTGGCTCACAAGTGTCAGCTGACCGGCCCCCTCAGGGCTCTGCACACGGCCCGCCCCCACCCCCTGGAGGCCTGTGCGGTCCTGGGGCTGCCCACGGCCTGGCCCCCAGCGTGGACAAACGTGGCCAGGCTGACAGAAGCTCCCCAGTGAGAAGCCGAGAATTCCGGGGTGTCAGGCAGGCCCCATCGCTGGCGGCCTGTACCTCCCACGGCCGGCCGGGGACTCGCAGGGAGACGCCAGGTCTGGGAGGGGTGACAGCTGGAAGCGGGGACACAGCCCAGCCACCCCCTCCTAGGGAGCCGGGCAGGGGCCCCAAGCCGTCTGCCTGGCGTGCGGGAGGTGCCAGCAGAGCCCCCTCCAGGCGGCTCCACGGGTGTCCTGGGCCTCTGCCCAGACTCGGTGTCTCCAGGCCTGGGCCACCCCGTCACCGTGCGTGGGGCCACACCGGGGAGCCCTGGCTTCCCGTCAGACAGGGTGTAGCAGGCCTGGCGGCTGAGCCCCGAGAGCACACGTCTGAGGGGGGGGCGTGTGCGGGGAGACCCCCGCTCCCGCGGCTGCCGCCGTGCCCTCTGCCCATGCCGGGGGCTCAGGCGGCTGGTGCAGACCAGACCCTCGGGCGCCAGAGGAGGCGCCCGTGGGGAGGCCCCTGCAGGGACAGTCCCAGGCAGCCTGGGACAGCCAAAGTGGGGCCCCGCGCCGTGTGGACACAGAGCTTCCGCACCGGGCCCTGCGAGGCGGCGCTGCCCACACGCCCCACGAGGGCCGAGCCGCCTGGCACAAGGGCCTGTGGCCGCCCCGCCGCGGCTCCCTCTCCCACCCGTCACTGTCGGGGCCGCGGTGACACAGCGCGGAGGAACGTGCAGGCCACCGGCGGTGCCCTCAGCCCGCGCTCCCGCCTTCCTCCCTCGCCCGCCGGCCACGCCGCCAGGCCTGCCGACAGGGCTCTGCGGCTTTGGCGCCACTGGGCCTTCCCTTCCCTTCGGCTCAGATGAATCACCGGGGCCCGCAGGCCAGACCTCCCCACTCCTCAGAACCCGGCCCTCCCGAGGAGCTGCCCAGACCCCAGGCCAGGCCACCCTCTAGGCCAGCGCCTCCCAGGTGGCAAGGCTGCCCCGGCCCTGGACGTGAGGCCGGGCTCCCCGCCAGCCACCCCGGGACCAGCTGCCCTTCCCACGGGGGAAAGCCGTGCACGCGGAAGGGAACAGGGCAGGTGACCGCTGGGCCTCGGCCCGCCCCCACCCCCGGTAGTGCCCCGAGTCGCCCGTTACCCAAAAGGGCGGTGCGTGGGGTCCCTCGCCCACGGGACCCGGGCCGCCCATGGAGGTCAGCAGAGACCAGCACCCGCAGGGACCCCTTGGCCTCCGCCTCTCCCTGGGGGCTGCACTCAGACACAGCAGGTGGGGCAGCGGGCGCCCCCGCCCCCGCAACCAGTTTTGTCAAAGCGGCCGCCCCTGCCCACACCTCCGCGGGTCGTGCAGCCACGCCGGACCCTCAGCACCGCCGGGCCCTCGCCTCCACCAGGGCGGGGTGCCCAGCCTACCCTGGACAGCACGCAGGGGCCATGGGGCAAGCCCAGGGCACCACGCAGCATCCTGGAGGAGGCGGCAGGGGCACCCCCAGTCCACTCTGGCCCTGGCCCTGGCCCAGCTCCTCCCCACCCCACATGCTCTGAACCTGCTCGCAGGCCAGGGACGGGGCAGCCGCACGCCAGATGCCCGCCTGGGAAGGGGTGTGGGGGGGCAGGGCCCCGCTGTCAGCCCCCACCCTGCCCGGGGACGGGCCTGTGACAGGGAAGCCCGGGCCTCCGGCCCCTGTGTGTGGAGCTGCAGGGCAGCCCCCGGGCAGCGGGAGGACTTCAAAGGCCAGGCCAGCGGCAGCAGCCTCCGCCCGCGCTGACGGCCAGTGAAACTGCCTCGGAATGACTGACGTCCGACATCAAAGGCAGAGTCCCGGGTCTGCAAACCACCCGGCCGCGGAGGGCCTGCCTGCACTTCATCCTGTCTTTCTTCTGCCTCTTTATTTAAATCCCAAAACCACACACAGGCAGGGCATTAATGGGAAACTTGGAAACTCCTTTTGATTGCCGAGGCGCACCTTTGAAGTTCCCCAGAAGGTCCTGGCCCGCCCCCTCCCCCAGGACCGCGCGGACGCAGAGCAGGCGCCATGTGGCCGCGCGCTGGCGCTGCCGGGAGCGGGTGAGCGCAGCCAGCTGCCACCAGATCAAAGGCCGGCAGGGCAGGCCCTCCCCCGGGTGCCCTCCTGGGCCCAGGGTCAGGCGGGGGATGCAGCACAGTCCCCCAGGCAACTCGCTGACCACAGGGTGGTCAGCGGGCCCACGGGACACGGTCAGGGCCTTCTCTGCTCAGGACACCAGGGGCTCCCCTCGCGCCCCCCAGCTTTAGGGTACGCACGGGGATGGCCACCCAGGGCCTGCCCCAAGTCCCCACGCAGGCTTGGGCCGGGCGCCAGCGCTGAGCACACAGGGCTGCTCCAGCCCACGCTGGCTAGTGGGGCTCCCGGGACTGAGAGGGGCAGGCCCGCCCCACCCACTCACCCACCCACTCAGCAGGGCACGTGGCGTGGGGCCAGCATCTCCTCTAGACCCCACCCCGGAGCCCGAAACAACCTCAGGGAGCCAGCCCACGGGTGCCCCACTGACGTCAGCGCAGAGCGAGCTCGCGCCACCTGCCTGGGCCCAGGGACCCGCCGCGGCCGGCCCGAGCAGAGGAGGCCCGTGGCCAGGGGAGCCCGGCCTGCAGGTGGCCTCTCGCCCCACTCGGGATCTGACGAGGCTGAGGCCAGCAAGGCCGGGCTAACCCCACAGGGGCCGACCCTGACCCGTTCACCCCTCGGGTGGCCAGAGAGGGGTGCCGGTGGGCATCGCAGGCAGCTGCGCAACAGACTCGGGAGACCTCACGGCCAAGGCGGAACCAGGAGAAGGGCTCCGGGGACACATGCGGGGCCCCACCCTGGCTCCAGGCCAGAGCCTCCGCAGGGCTACGTGTGCCTCCAGCCCCCCAAGGCCAAGACTCCCGTCCTCCTGTTCTGCCCGGCGGCTCACCGCTGGCGGCGCAGCAGAGGGGTCTGGCTCAGAGCCAAGGAGCCTGGACAGGCAGCACCACCTCCAGTCAAAGCCAGGGCCGGGCAGAAAGGGAGGCCTGGGACAGGGCGCCGGCCTGTTCCGGGAGGGGCCCGCTGGACAGCGGCGGGTCGGAGACACAAGTCTGCCAAAACCCATCAAGCTACGTGACGCGTGACGGGCCTGGGGACGCTGACCTTGGGCACACAGAGCCCCAGGGTCCTGCCCAGGAAGAGGCGCCCCCACCCCCACCAGCCCACGGGCCCTTACCGGCTCCCTCTCACGGAGCTCCTGGCCTGGCTTTGGCTTCTTGGGCTTGGAGGGGCCTCCAGGGCTGGAGGCAGGCTTCGGTGACATGGCTGGACAGGACACGGGGGATGTCGGAGGCCTCGCAGGTGCCAGGGGGCCCCCGAGCCGCTGCCCCCCACCTGAGAATGGCACGAAGGTCGCCTGTGTGAAGTAGGGTCCAGTCGCCTGCGCCTCCGCGGGCTCTGGGCCCGGGCCCTGCACGGGGCCGCCCCCCGAGGGGCCCGAAGCCTCCTCACGGCTCCCGTCACCCCGGCTGAGCTGGGCTGTGTCCAGCGGCGGCAGGGGGCTGCCCGCAGCCTGCTCGGCCGACAGGGACGGGGTCGGGCTTCCTGGGGCTCTGCTCCGGGGGACGGCGGGCTCCTGCTTGCCGGCAGAGTCGCCTTGCTTCATGGCAAACCTGAGGACCCAGACAGCAGTGAAGCCATGCGGGCCCCCACCTCGGGCTCTGCTGCCCGGCTGCTCAGCCTAGGCCCGCGGTGAGAAGGGCGGCGCGCCTCCCCCCGCCCCGTCACCCCCACCCCCGCTCTCAGCGACTGGACCCACCTGATGATGGCGCTGCCCCCGGTGAGGCCCAGGGACTGCAGCGTCGTGTCCTGCAAGGCCGCTCTTCCGGCCACCTGCGGGGACAGGACCCCCTGCTGACCCCACTCAGCGACAGAGCGCCCCCACCTGACCTGGCGAGGCCACCCCGGGCCCAGACTACCGCCCCGCCCACCGGCCCACCCACTGTCCCGCACAGGTGCTGATGGCGGCGGGGGGCCCAGGGCACTGGGGACGGCCCTCGCCAGCCCCATCCAAGGCCGCGGGGCCACGGGACACTGGGAGAGGCCCCGGCCGACTCAGGCCGCAAACAGACAACACAGAGCGCGAGGGAGGCCCGCGCCAGGGCCGGGCGGAGCCCTCCTGGGACCCAGTGACCCAAGCTCGCCCTGGAGTCGGGGTCACGAGGCCGAGGAAGGGTCTGCCCAGCACAGACCCCGGAGCATGGCGAGGCGGCGCTCCTCGCAGCCTCGCCGGCCGCCCTAGTGGAAACACAAGGCACCCACGGGGGCTGGGGTGGCCCCAGGGCTCTGGGTGCGCAAGGGACCACCTCAGCCCCCCAGAGCCACGGCCCCGCCCAAGGCCACTGGGCCCTCCTGCTGGCACTGGCCTGCAGATCCTGCAGCTGCGTCCAGGTCACCCCAGATGCTCAGCCTGGGCCGCCTCCGGCTGGCGGGCCTGCCCTCCGCGGCTATACCGACCACAAAGACCTGGCCTGTCTCGTATGGGTGCGGACGTTGACCTGAGTGCCCCTCGGGTCCTGCGCGCCCCCACCCTGACACCCCCACACCACAGCCCTGGGTCTGGGTCGCCAACCTCCAACTGGGGTAAATGGATGGGTGTGCCCCGCCCAGGCCAGGACCTACCCAGGGCCCCTTGGGACACTGGCCCCGAGCCAGCCAGGCCGCTGCCAGGTGGGAACAAAAAGCCCCTGTGAGGCAGGGCCCCGCGCCGCCCGAAGAGAGGAAAACACGGAGCGAGGCAAATAGTTGTTAAAACGAAACCACTTTTGTGACTCTTGGGCTCGGGAGAAGCTGAGAAAACAAACAAGGCGCAGAGGGCGGCGCGGCCGGGGGCCGCCCCGGGGAGGCCGGGACACTCGCGCCCTCAGAGCCGGCTGCCCGCTTTGCAGGTCTGGGGCAGGGCCGGAGGGCCGCGGGGGAGCGGGCGTGGGCCGCGGCCAGGCCCGGGATGGCCGCCCACCTACCTCGTCCCTCATGTACACGCAGACCGGGCTGGCCCCGCTCGGCTGCTCCAGGCGCTCCCTGAGCAGAGGAGAGGAAACACCGCGGTGCCCTCAGCCCCCAGGCTCCTGGCCAGGCCCATCCGGTGCCCATGGCCGGCAGCAGGGGGCCTGCCCGCCCGCCCGCCCGCCTGGCCAGCAGCACCTGCCTGTGGCCTCAAGGCAGGGGACGGGGCCATCACGGAGCCGGGCAAGCCCGCCCACGTCTGCGGGCAGCAGGGGAGCCAGGCCCTGCCCACGGTGCTAGGATGGGCGATGGTGGGCGGGGACTACAGCCCTCTCCCCTCGCTCACCCCACCCCACCCAGCTGGAGAGCGGCCCCCACGCACAGCGGGCCAGGGCCCACGCCTGCACCTCCCAACATACACTGTGGGGTCAGGGGCCCCAAGAAACGCCCCCCCCAGCAGCACCTGGAGGGCCCAGGCCAGCCCAGCCCAGCAGAGGCGGTTAGGGGGGCTCATGGGGGTCCTCCAGGGCAGCTGCATAGGAGCCTCAAGAGCAAAGATGGGGCGGCAGCCCGAGTCCTGAGGGGACACCCGGAGCCCACAAGGGCCTGGGGCCACACACCTGCCCCGCAGGCTCCCCGCCTCCCCCTCACAGCCTGGCCACCCCCGACCCCCGCCTGCCCACAAGCCTCCCGACATGCCTATGCACATGATGAGGGAGCTGCGCTGAGGCGCCCAGGGTCCCATGGGCCCAGCGCCCCCAAGCTGGGGGCCCAGGAGGACAGAGTGGGCGGCTCCTTGGGTGGACGCAGGGCCAGAGGGCAGGCGCCAGCGCCCCAGCTGCCGTGACTCACCTGGTCTGAGCAAAGTGGCTGAGTAGGTCCCAGAGCGTCTGGCCAGAGCGGAAGGTGCCCTGCAAGCGGGGCCCGTCCTCCAACTGCAGCGCCACGCGCACCTGCAGGGGCCACGTCAGGCCAGAGCCCCCACCCCCCGGGGCCCCTCGCGCCCACCCTGACTCAGGACACACATGACACCAGGAGGGGGAGGCTCCCTTGAGGCGCTGAGCCAAGGGACCAGGCAGCCGCCCTGGGGGCAGCAGGGCGCCCACACCTGCAGGACTGCGGGAGCACACCCTGGCAGGGTGGCCAGAGGGCAGCGCTCAGTCTCCCGTCACCCCAGGAGCCCCAGGGCCCAGGGGAGTCGGCCCCTCCACAGGAAGCTGGACAACCACCCTCTGGGGCAGGCGAAGGCCCAAACCCAGAGGGGCCCCCGCCACCCCCTACCTGCCCGGCAGGGGAAGGGCCACCCACCGTGGTCTCGGGCCCCCCGCGGCCACGGGAGGCGGGCACCATCTCCAGCGTGGCGTGGTTGGGCAGCCCGGCGAACCGCCACTGCACCGAGAGGTCCAGCACGCTCCTCTGAAACCTGCAGGACAGACCGGGCGGCTGCAGCTCCACATGCAGCCTGCGGCTGGCGTGGGGCCGCAGGCGGGAAAGCGAAGCCAAGCGTGGAGTGGGGGACGCAGGCTGCAGGCGTGGTCCCCAGCACAGGCAGGGCGCCCCGCGCTGCTCTGGAGCTCGGCGGTAGCGCTCCCTGGAGGGGCCTGTACCCCCGCTCCCTGCCAGCCACGGAAGGGGGCCACGCCAGGAGCCGCAGAGCCCACAGGGACAGAGTCCAGCGCCGCCTGCCCTCTTCCACACAGTCGCCCCCCCCCCCAGCCCTGGCAGCCAGAGCCCCCCGCCCTGCAGTGCCAGGCAGGGGCCCTTCCAGCCAGGCCCTCGGTCCCCACCCACCAGCAGCCTCGCTCAGCCCAGGTCACACTAGGGTGGGGGCAGCGCCCCCAAAAGCAGCCCAGACACTGAGGGGACCTGCCTGGCCTGGGCCCCGCTCCAACTCCGGCTCCGGGGCCACAGCAGAGACCGGCAGGGCCGGAGCACGGCTGGGTGGGGGCCCCGCCCATGGCTGGCGGAAACGCAGCTCGGATGACGCATTTCCAGGAGACACCGCCTCCCAGAAGGCGACCCCAACAACTTAGGCTCTGCCCTCTAGTCCGGCTCTGGCCTGGCTTTCAACAGCAGCTCAACAGGAAGCCCCAGGCCTGGGAGGAGGCGCAGGCTGCCCACTGCCTGGACTCCCCAGAGACAGCCGCGACCCTAGCCGAGTCGCTCACAAAGCCCAGGTGTTGAGGAGCTGAAGAGCAGCCACTCTGCCCCATGCTGCTGCCCGCCAGGAGCGGCGCGGGGCCATGTCGGCACATGCGAGGCTGCTGGTGCGAAGAAGCAGGAAGGGCCAGCAGTCCGCCGCGGGCAGCTCAGCCCAGGCCTTCTGAGCAGATGGCACCATGGACAGAGGGCAAGCGCCAGCCCGGGGGCCACACGCCCGGCTCAGCACCATGGAGACAGGCTATGGCCGACCCAGACTGTGCTGCGGGCAGCTTGAGGGAGGCCAGTGAGGGCCTCAGCAGTAGGGCAGGAGGTGGGGGGCTGGGTAGCCCGGCCCCCTCCTGGAAGCCTCCTCCTTGGAGTTGAGGCCTGCGAGGACAGGCTCCCGCCCCTGGCTCTCACAGGGAGACGCCAACACCCGCCCAGCTGGGACCTTCTGTTGTCTTAGAGGCCTTGGGAACCTGGGGACGCTCTCTCTAGAGAGAAGCGTCCCTTCCCACGTGCACCCCTGCGCACACGCACCCCAGAGCCTGCAGCCTGACATGCCGAGCGCACAGCACAGAGGCGGGTGGTGTCCCCCAGAAGGACACGCACCCCTCCAGAGCCCGCAGGCGGGGCTTCACCTGGAAGCAGGCCTTCGCAGCCTGACCTGGGAGGAGGCCTGCAGCCGGCTGCCCAGGATGGGGCCAACCAGCTAACAAGTGTCCTGGGAGAGCCGGGAAGACCAGGTGAGGGGGGGCAGACGAGCGGAGCCTGGGGTGACTGGGCAGCGGGTGCCGCCTCGACCTTTGGGTTTTCAGCCTCCAGAACTGGGGTGTTAAGCCCCCCAGCAGGGCCCTGGGGACAGGCGGTGGGACTCGGACCCCACAACCAGGCCAGAGCAAACTCACTTCAGGTCGTACTCGCTGGGGTTGAAGTCCTGCCGACGACACGTATCCTCCAGGACCTGGGGCGGGGGACAGGGTGCTGACCGCCCTGCTAAGCAGGCGCATTGAGGCCAGGCAGGCCAGGGCAGTTGGTCTGCGGGTCAGCTGACCAGGCCTGACCCGCTCTGCCTGGGTCTCGCCGCACAACCCTGCCACTCTCCCCTGCTCGCGGGCCTGCCTCGCCGCCCCGGCTCCGCAGGACAGCCCCGGGCCGGGTCCCCACCCCTGGCATCCTCCACGCGCACTCGGGGCCCGCTCCCCACTCAGAGGGTCTTTCCGGCCCCACCGCCCGCGGGGCCCCGCCCGTCGGCGCACGGGCCCCAGAGGCCGGCCGGCCGGCCGGGGCCCCAGCGCCCCCGCGCCCCACCGTGGGGGCGCCATCGGGGGCGCACGGCCCCGCACCAGTCGGGCCTCGAGAGGCGGCGGCGAGTGACTCAGCACAGGCCCGGCCCGCGGCCGGCGGCCCGCGCGGGGCGGCAGGCGCCGGCGCCGAGGGACCCCGCGGCCGGCGCGGAGGCGGCTCCTCGGCCGCGGGGCCCCGCCCGCCGCCCGCCCGGCCCACCTGCAGCAGCACGGTGCTCGGCGTCACCTTCACCGCGTGGCGCCGCCCGTTCGGGGCCAGCACCGACACCGCGGAGCCCCCGCCGCCCGCCGGGGCCGCCATCTTCCGCTCACGTGACCCGCCGCCGCCGGCCCGGCTGCAAACAACTTTATCGGCAACAGCCCGACGCACAGCCACGCGGCGGGGGCGGGGCCGCGCCGCTTCCGGGATCGCCCGCCGGCCCCGCCCCGCCCCGCCGGCCCCGCCCCGCCCCGCCGGCCCCGCCCCGCCGGCCCCGCCCCGCCGGCCCCGCCCCGCCGGCCCCGCCCCGCCGGCCCCGCCCCCGCCGGCCCCGCCCCGCCGGCCCCGCCCCCGCCGGGCCCGGGCGCCGCAGGGGTGCAGCCGGTCGGACGGGGCGTGGAGGCGGGGACACCCCGACCAGAGCGCGGCCTCGCCCGCCCGCGGACACGCCGTCGAGCCGGCCAGCGTCCCTGGGGGCCGCCGTCGCGCCCGGCGCGGTGACCGCGCACACCCCCTGCCGACGAGCCCCCAGCGCCCTGCAGGGAACGTGGGGGGACCCGCCGGGGGCGCCCTCGCGGACCCACCCGCCCCGCTTGGGCGCTTCAGGGCGAGCGGCCCGGCCCTTGTGCCAGCCTGTCCCCGCGCCCGGCGCCTTCCGGGGCTGCGGGCATTTCGGGTGGGGCGAGCCGCCGGGACGGCCGCCCTGCCAGGTCCCAAGCGGCTGGGACAGAGCCCACGGCCGGCCCGGCCGCCCCCGCCTTTCCTCCCCCTAGTCCTGCCCACCCCTTCCTGCCCACCAGGTTCTCACCCCCGCGGTGCAGCTGGGGCTGAGAGCACCTCCCTGGGGCATTTCTGGGGGCCACTGCCTGGCCAAGTTCTCGCCCCCCCATTGAGCCCCAGGGGGCCCTCCACAGGTTGCATGGCAGTGGGGGCCAGGGCCTGCCGGTCTGGCCCCTTGAGTGCTCAGCCCATGAGGCAGCAGGGGCACAGGACAGGAGGGCGGGTCCTCAGAGCCTCCTCTGCATTGGTGCCGGCCTCAGTGCTGCTCTTGCTGCTGCCGCCCAAGCCCTAGACCCATGGCTGGGCCCGCCGCTGGGCTGCATGCAGGACAGAGCAGGCCCAGGCCAGTGGTTCACAAATACCTGTCCCAGGAATGACCACTGATGGGGGGGGGGGGGCAAATGAGCACTGGGTCGCCCGCCACTGCTGCTGGTTCTCCCCTGGTGCCCAGGCTCTTTGGGAGCCTGGTGTGGGCCCTGGCAGTGGGAGGTTCCTGAAGGGCCTGACCTGGTGAAGACCAGGCAGGCAGGACAGAGCAGGGCCCCAGAGCTGACCCCCGCCCTGGGTGCGGGACAGCGGCCTGGGGAGGCTGGACCCACAGGGTCTCTGGGGTCAGGAGGCACCAGGGGTCCACCTGGGGCAAAAGCGTATTTCAGGCTGAACCAGGAATTCCAACGCCGGCTTCAGCGGCCAGGGCCAGCCGGCCACTGAGAGTTGTTTGTTCGCTGGGAAGCTGCCAAACAACCGGTCACTGCACGCGGCTGCTTTGCTCACCATGCCCGCACAGCCTTGTGCAACCCAGGCCGCCGGAGGCCGCCGCAGTGACTGTGTGCCCACAGGCCTCCAGGCTGTCTGCAGGCCACCTGGGTGCTCCTGTTCAGCCACTTTTTGCTGCTTGTTTTTTTTTCTTTCCAAATCTGATGTTTTGAAAATGACAAGTCTGGATGTTAATAGCAGCTTTATTTATAACAAACCCAAACTGGAAAGAACCTAGGGCTTCAGTGGGTTGTGCGCCCTGACAGCCCACATGGGGAGCACAGCTCTGCGGGTGAAAGAAGAGCCGGGGGGCGGGGGGGGGAGCCTCCCTGGGGGCACAGGGGTCAATCTCAGCACTATGAGGCTGTTGGCAGCCACTGCAGCCTGAGTCCATCCCCACCAGGGAGGGACCCCCAGGGTGCAGCAAGCCTCTCCAGTCTCCCCGCTGCCCCCTCAGCCGTGGGTTTCAGTGGATCTGTCTGTTCTGCTCCCCCACTCTGTCTCTGGGGAGTCCTCTCACCCCCCCGCACCTCTGGCCTGCACCCCAGCTCTTGTACGCATAGATGCAAAAGCAATGTATGAATTCAATGCCGTTCTCTTTCCTGTGATATTTTCCAATGAAATAAGCAAAAAAATACTAACATTTATATGAAAATACAAAAGCCCAAGTAGTGAAAGCAATTCTGAGAGTAAAAGAAGAAAGAGGAGGGCGTCGTGTCACCCAGTTTTAAACGACATCATAAAGCAACGGCAATTAAAATAGGATGGTGTTGGGACGAAAGAGACACGGGCGTCAATGCCACGGTGCCGAGGGCCCGCGGCTCCATCCCCTTCGTCAGCACCTCGTGACGCGGCCCAGACTAGACAGTCTCCTCCACCAGCCAGTCTCCGCACACGGTGCTGGAGAGCCCGGCAGTCCCAGGTGGGAGAACGAAGCTGGCTCCCTCTCTTAAGTCCACAGACAAAAATAAACTCAAAAAAGGGCCTCCCCTGGTGGCACAGGCAGTTGAGCGCCGCGCTCTGAAGCTGTCCGCAGCCTCTGCAGCGCTGGTTCAATCCCAGCCGGCCGGCGAGGGTCCCCCATGGCGCGCCCGCTGCTCCCCTCAGCAGTGAACTTCATCAGTCTGCCTGTTCTGTTCCCCGCTCTGTCTCTGGTGAATCCTCTCACCCTCCCGCGCCTCTGGCCTGTACCCCGGTTCTTGTGTAAATAAATCTTAAAAAAAATAAATAAATAAAAAATAAATTCAAAATGGATGAAAGCCTCAGCTGTCAGACCCCAGATCGTAAACGCGGCAGCGCGGTACTGTCCCGGGCCGTCCCGGGAGCTACGTCCTCGGAGACTTGACGCCAGCGGCAATGGAGATGAAAACAAAAATAAAGTATATTAAATTAAAAACCACTTGCACATCAAAGAAAATATCAGCGGGTGAAAAAGACAGCCCGGAGCGCAGGGGCGGCACTGGCACTCCGCGCAGTCAGGGCAGACATCAGGGAGCGGGAGAACTCAACTAACTTAACCACAAAAAAAATCAAACAGGGGCCTCCCCGGGGGCGCAGCGGTTGAGCACTGGGTTGCGAAGTTCGATGCCCGGCTGCCGGGCGAGGGTCCCACGTGGCGCGCAGACCTCTCCTGCCGCCCGCTGCTCCCCTCAGCAGTGTCCTTCGGTCCTTCTGCCTGCTCTGCTCCCCGCTCTGGCTCTGGGGAATCCTCTCACCCTCCCGCGCTTCTGACTCTGCCCAGTGCTTGTGTAAATAAATAAATAAATCTTTTTTTTTTTTTTTTTTTAAATCAAACAGGCCAGTTAAAAACTGGGCAGGAGATCTGATGAACACCGCCCGCAGGGGACACCCCAGACAGACCTTCCCTTCTCAGGCGGCGGGTCATGGCACACCTGCGGGGAGGCCCGAAGGACCCCTCACAACAGGTGCTGGCGAGGCTGTGGGGGAGCCCGCGCGCTGGGGGGTGCCAGCTGAGTCCCCACCTGAGCGAGCCATCCTGACCCACCCCACCAAGCCGGAAGTGAAACCAGGACGGCTCCAGCAACCCCACCCCGGGGTGGCCGCCAGGAGGCCGTGCTGCAAGGCTGGCCGGGCCCCAGGACCGGCGAGGGGGTCCTGCCTCCACGGCAATTCCGAGGGTCGAGACCTGCGGGAAGGGACGCGGGTCAGGAGGCGGGGGACCGAGGGGCTGATTTCGCCTCTGAGTGGAAAACGAGGAGGCGATGCGGGCGAATCGTGGGCAAAAAAACTAAAAAACAAGCTGTGGATGCAGATGGCCACGCTGAGGTGACCCAGCGGGGCACCGGGAGCTGGGGTGTCCGGCAGGTGGGCCTTGGTCATAAACGAAGGAAGAAAAAGAAACTGAATTTACCCAAGGCCACGAGGACGCGGGGCAGCGGCCGGGCGGGCATGCGGGAGAAGCCTTCAAGGGAAAGGGTCAAGGCCAGCGGCCAGGCCCACCTCAGAGGCTGGGGTCCGGTGCGCAGGGGCAAGGTGGGAGGGGACACGGGCCTGGGACATGGACCCGCGATCAGATCGCACACATGAGGCACACGCGCACCCCACAGGCGAGGCCAGCGGTGTCCCCTCCGGCTGCCCACAGTCCCGTTGCATCTTCACATTTGCAAATAACAGGCCCCTCGAAAGGCCGGTGTTCAGGCGCCCAGCAGTGCCCTCCCCAGGGGCCCTCCCCCTTCCCAGGCCGCGCCTGTGCAACCCCCAGAAGCTCTCTTGGTCTCAGGCCCACCGGCCATCCAGCTGCCTCCAGGTTGCCCTGCGGCTTCACTCTCCAGGGCTTGTCTTGAGAAGCCAGGGCCCATGCTGCCCCCTGCTCTGCCGGGCCCTTCCCTGGGGCCAGCAGCCCGCAGGGGACCCTCGTGGGGGTGTGGCCCTCAGCTGTTGCTGGCCTGCTGGCCGCATCCCTACTACCAGGGCCCTCGGGGAGGGAGCAGGCCCCTGCAGGTCCCTCAAAACCGTGTCTTCCCAAACAGCTGTCTCAGCCTCCAGGAGGCCCTGCCCTCCCCCAGGGGGCGGGCCCCACCTTCCACAACCTGCTTTTCTGTTCACCTGAGCTCCAGGCTCCTCGTTTCCTCTGTTCTCTGTGTGCAAGGTGATCCAAATGTGGCCGGTGGCCCCTGCAAATGGGCTTCTGTGCTGCTTTATTTTTGGCGAGTGACTTTATTTTGATATCACTTCACACTTGGAAAAAAGTCCCAGGGCCCGCAGAGGGTCAGCCGAGGGCCCCACCCCCGCGGCCACGCCCCACAGCCACACTGTGCTCTCGATCCCCCAGCTTAGCCACAGAGCAGGGTCTGGAGACACTGAGCGCTCGTTTCAGGGCACTCCCTAGGAACAAGGTCCCTCCCGCTGCACCCCACCCGCCCTCGGCTGTGGACACCCGCTGTGGCAGAACCCCGGGGCCCACCCAGGCCCGGTGTCCGGCTTCCGCCTCGGTGTCTGGCCTCAGCCTCTCCCTGGGCGGGGCTCACTGCCCGCACACGGGGTCCAGGCCCCCAGGGAAAAGGCCTGTTGGCCCTGGGCCTTGGGACCCGGACATAGCGCCATAGCTCCAGCCCAGACCCCCCGCGGTTGGCCCTGTTGTCCC